GTGGGCATTACATAATGGTCTTCTGGAGGCCTCACATTGGGGGCAGTGGGCATTACATAATGGTCTTCTGGAGGCCTCACATTGGGGGCGGTGGGCATTACATAATGGTCTTCTGGAGGCCTCACATTGGGGGAGTGGCCATTACATAATGGTCTTCTGGAGGCCTGACATTGGGGGAGTGGGCATTACATAATGGTCTTCTGGAGGCCTGACATTGGTGTTGTGGGCATTACATAATGGTCTTCTGGAGGCCTCACATTGGGGGAGTGGCCATTACATAATGGTGTTCTGGAGGCCTCACATTGGGGGAGTGGGCATTACATAATGGTCTTCTGGAGGCCTGACATTGGGGGAGTGGGCATTACATAATGGTCTTCTGGAGGCCTGACATTGGGGGAGTGGCCATTACATAATGGTCTTCTGGAGGCCTGACATTGGGGGAGTGGGCATTACATAATGGTCTTCTGGAACCTGATCAGGTTATAAGGCTTTTAAGGGACTCAAGCTGGCCATTAGGACCTGTAGGGCCAGACATGAAATGACTTGCTGATCTTGGTTGGAATGCTTGTCTAAATCTACTTTTCTCTCCTCAGGTCAGTTTGGTGGGCCACACCAGAATATGCCTGGCTTCCACCCAGCCGCCATGCCACCCTTTGGACAAGCACCTCCTATGGGTCCTCCTTACCAGGGTGGCCCCCCTCGGCCTCTGATGGGAATGCGTCCTCCTGTAATGTCTCAAGGTGGCCGCTACTGACCGTTCTGCACTGTTAATAGGTTTGGAGATTAAAGCTTTCTTCTCACCTTGTGCTGTGTATATAGCCGCGCTCCATCTCTCCCGCATACCAGGAACTGTCGGACATTGTTTTACATTGGGGGAGGGGATTTTTATTTTCGGGGAGGTTGGTTCAGGGACGTTGGCGGACCTTTTCATGCAATTTATACTGTATGGCTTCTTTTCCATCTAGGTTTTTAGAAGTGGCGTGTAGTAATTATGGTTCAATTGTGAAGGCGCCATATACCAGGCAAAAGGCAAGTCCTGTAACATTACTTTGCTCTTTGTGAGGCCTTCACAGCTCTTCTTGGGCTGTTGGACTTCTGGTCCCCAACAGTTGTTGGTGAGGGCCGTAACTGTTGTATCTTGATGTCCTTGACTGACCTCTCTGTACTGTTAACTATGTAATAAAATGGAAGAACACTTTGACTTTCTGTTAATTGTCAGCTTTGGAGCCGCTTTGAGGTTGGTAGAGTGCATGTCACCTGGCACACGACGTGACACATGCTGTGACTTACATGTATAGGGGAGATCTATCAATCACATGATCATTCCTTCCCTGCCTTTTCACTGTCAATGTGCGGTTCTAGCAGTGCTCCTAGACCAGGAGAAGATGGAAAGGATTGTGGGAAAATCTCCTCCTTGGCTGATGTCCTGCACTGACAGTGGATTGGTGGCAGTATAATGCATTCCCAGCCTGACATGTATGACGTATGGCTCCCAATATAGAATCAATAAGACATCTGCCTGAAGCTGGTTCTAATGTGCTGGCTCTCCCACTATTTAGGATGGATCACACAGATAAGAGGCAGGCTGCAGAATACTGCTGGAGTCTCCATGATATCACCTGTCTGTATGAAGCTGCCGCTCTGACATAAAATGACCCTATAAAGGGTTTGGAAGTTGATAAATCTCCCCTAGTAAGCCAGCCGCATGATTTGTGTAGACCTTTCCCTGTAGGTAGACCTGTATAGTTGTCACTGAGCTCTCAATGCTTGTATGGGTGCTGGGGGATGCGAGTGACCGATCCCCCTTATGGTTACTGTACAGGTCTGCCTACTTTGGTGATTGGGGTAATAGCAGTAATTTGTATAGCGGGGTTCTGGTGATTGGCTCCATTAAGATATTAGTGATCAGTAGAACTGTACAGTATGCATGTTTTTCACTTGCAGCTCTGTGAACAGTCTTCTAAAATCGGCCTTTTTCTTCTCCCTATAGCACTGCCCTAGCACAGGCTGAGGCTGAGTCAGTGTTGCCCTTTTCAGTCTGAGGCAAGTGGCATTTATTTTATCTGGGGGCCTTCACAGCTTTAGCTGTTGGATATATATGTCCCCAAACTTGCAGCAAGTTTGGTGAAGGCCCCTAATATTGTCTTATATAGGGATACTGCTAGTGACCTGATGTTTAGTGTCTATAGATAATTTCTTTGCTGCATAGAGCCCTCATTACTGCCACAGCAGTCTTCAGTGGAAAGTGCAGGAGCCCATTTTAACCGGTTGTCAGTCCGGTGTCGGTTTGGTGATCTGTAAAAGTTATGGGCTACTGCACTTTGTATATCGCACTCCAGACCAGCAGATAATGCAGCTGAATTACATTTCAGAATTGGTTTTCCCTGCTAAAGGTTTGCATTCTTCAGCTGCTCATCATACTGCACAGCTAGAACACGCTACATACAACATACTGTCACCTCCCTATGTCTACGGAATGGGTATCACCTTGTCCACACTGAACTTCGACATGTCATCTGGCTGTGCAGTGTGCTGGGGAAACACAATAATCATTCCAGTTTTTCCTGGTGTTACAATGTTGAGTTCAGTACAAATCCCAGTACCCCGTCCGCCTCATCTTGGGGATGTCTATATACCGGTGTGGCAGCCGATACTAATCAGCTGTTTGGAATTGGTTCTGGACTGTCAGGCCTACCCCATGATGACGCCTTTGATTTCACTTTGTAGAAGTAAATCCTCTTCAGCCCCACAGGAACATTTGATGTGACTCATTTGTTGGTGAAGCATGCTTATAATGTGACTCATTTGCTCATTCAATAAAGTTTTCTCTGTCCAGGATAATCTTAGTGATGACTTTGTTCATAAACTGATTTGATTGTGCAGCATTTTCTCCAATATGTCTGACCGGCTGCTGGCAGAGTCTAGTGTCTCCAGTCTTCAGTAGCCTGGTGTCTGCCAATGTGACCGCTCTACCTGAATCCCTCTACACCAGAGTAATGTGAAGGTTTGGCACACAGCGGCTACAATTTGTAGGAGTACAATGTGTAACACAAGCTTTTTGCAAAGTTTTCACCAAGTTTCTAATAGCTTTGGAGGGCTTAGACTCCCAAGAATACAAAGCTTCAAACTGGATGCGGCTACACAATGCATCAGCTGTCTGTACCCCGATTTTCCCAGTAATGGTTTTTCACAGGTAGTCAGGACTTGCTCAGTCCCTCCAGCCAGACATTCCTATTGTATAAATGTATAACACCATTGCCAGAGCAACAAGTGCAATACAGGGAAGCTTGGTCTGTATTGCTGCATTTTTATCCTGCTTATGTCTGCATGCATAGGATGTGCTATGTAGTGTCATCACTCCTATAAAGATCAGTGTAAAGGTTAACTCCCAACTTGAGCTGAAGGGGTACTTTCAGAGTTGCTGGAAGCTTTTTAGATGCTAAAAGCTTTGCACACTGCTTTGTATGAGCCTGCGTACCAATCTTTAAGACCATCACTGCAAAATTCCATAAGCTGCCTACAAAAGACTTGTACCACTCCACCAACTGAGGAGCTGCCTGGTCCCAGGGTGCACATTGTGGGCCCACGTTAGCAGATCCTATGTCAAAGGGGTGGGCAGCTTGAGCCTCAGCATGGGACAGTGTATAAGACACTCTGAAGTTAGATGTTGAAGATCCAGCACACCCTTCTCCTGCAGAGGTTAGTATTACACCACTTCTACAAGCAGCTTTTTTTTTTGTATCAAGTCTCTAGGTTGCCTGTGAACATTGTTACCTCATCTTATGGAAACACTATGCTTCCAGTAGACTGCCTTAGTCAAGACTTGTTGGATACCATCAATATGTATTCCACTGATGTGTGCGCTGCTACTTTGGGGTTTGTTGTCCTCAGTCATACAGTTTTGTACCTCTGGGACGCTCTAAACTAGTGATGCACCAATACTGAGTATTTGGGCGAGTACTCGTCCAAATTCTTGTACTCTCCCCAATACTCCAATACTCCAATACCCCCAATACTGGAACTTATGGTCAGACAATACCTCTGACCGGCAGTGCTGTGAGGGAACATGGAGCTGCCTTCCCAGGAAATCAGGAAGCCGGGCAGTGGGTAATATGCTGCCCAGTACTCTGTATCAGTGAGTACCGAAATATAAAGGTACTTTTATTCGATACTGAAACCGGTGCATCCCTACTCTAAATATTTATCCTGAGTTGGAGCCATGGTATATAACAATGACTGCATGACTTCTCCAGTCTGTAGGTACCCAATTCATTGATCCACCAGTCCAGGTTTTAGAGGTTCCCTTGCAGTGAGGGGCTAAAGCTGCTTTTCATGCAATGAGGCTGATGCACAGAGTATAGAACTCCAAGCTTGAGTACCTCTTTAGTTGGCCGACATTCAGGAGAACACTCGGCTGCCATATGTAGGCATGGTACAGCTTATCTATTGCAGTTCTGTAATGGATCCACTATGATATGGTGTATGAAGTGGAGACATGGATGCTGGTCTCAAGGGAAACGTTTCCACATGGCATGGTCTCGGCAGCGCTGTAGGTTGTCTGATTACCCGGCGAAATCTCAGACCAGGTGCAGGAGGACAGTGATGAGGTTGTGGCACTTTGTGGGTTTGCTGCTTGTAATTGATGTACCAGACTCCATTAAGAAGCCTCTGTAGACTGACTGCTTACCTGGTGTATCCTCTGGACTTAACTAATCTGCCTCCCTGTGTGACTGGATGACCCTTTCCCACGCCTTTTAGGTTGTCATGTGTAATAAGTTTTACTGGATGTCAGGGATTTTAATGAACTTCCATGGTGTCCACATTTCAGCTTAGAAGAAAAAGCTTCTTTTGATCACTTCCATTTCCTGCAACGTCTCCTGAACTGGGATATATCCGTGTGATGGACGCTTTGTATGAGTAGTTTGTAGAGCAGTGACTCCCCCCTGGTGCATGGTTGAGGCTCTCTGTCCGGTGCTGGTGTAACAGGGAAGACTTATCACTGTACACAATGCTTTACAAGTGGGCCGAGCACTGCAACCCACACCTTTTAAGACATTGCACCTGCCAGGTAACAGCCATCCTGACTTCCAAACCAGTAACAGTCAAGGAGAGTTTTATGTATTGCTCTTGGTATTAAATTCTAACTTGCAGGTTTTCCCTCTCCTGAATGAAAATGTGACCCTCCACCCATCAAGTCATCTCTATAGCACAGCCCCCTCATGTCATAACCCCTCCTTCTGGGAGTGTTTATTGCTGTCTGTGCTAGCCCAGCTCCTCCTTCCCTCCCTAAACCTATGTATGTGGAGGGGCCACAAAGGGCAGTATTGCGATGTGACCGGAGCCTCCACTGTCACTCCAACATGGCAGCACCCAGCAGCAGTTTCAGGGCTTTTGAATGTCTACAAGTAAATGTCTTCTTATGGAAGGATGGTTAATGTGATGGTCTGGTGTCAGGCTCTCTATTGTGTTCAATGGAATAATGTCTGGTCAATGTGTCTTGAGTGGAGCTAAACCCACAAAATGACTGGTCTTCAGTAAAGTAAATGTTAGAAATGTTCAATAAATCTGAAATCTTTCACCAAGATACCAATGTTTGCAGTTTTCTCAGGTACACATGGCTACATTTAAGATGTGTCCCTGGTGATGACATCAGTTGTCATGTCAGCTTTCACTTTCTGGCCTCAAATGTCTGCTCACATACAGCGTGCAGCATCATGGCAGCTGCAGATCTAAATGAAGGCTAAACACGACACCAGTCCTGCCGGGTAGGAGGGTTTAGTTCTTCCAAGCCTTCTCTAGTCATTTAAAGATATGAGAGCCCATGATAGATGGTCTGGTATGGTAAGTGATTACAATATTGGGTTCTTGACGTGTATGAACAATGACAGACATTGGGTTGGCGATATTTCACCTTGGACAGAAGTGTCCTGGCAAGTGTATACAAGCTTATGAACGGTCCTTACATGTAGGAAGCATTAGACTGTGATGGGCAGAGTCCAGTGTGACAATTTTGGGTGGGGGACTGATGTACACAATGCCTCAGTTAACACTTTGTTTCTGTTAATTCAGCCCGTTACTGGTAGAGAAGATTTGCCCTCGGCACTGCCAGTACAGGTTAGTTTTCATCTGTAAGTACTGTTTGTATTCCTTATTTCTAACTTGCACTCTGTACTGTGGAGGAAGAGGGCTTCATGTGGTGGG